AAATGCATGAATTTGCTTCAAAAGCAAGGGGTTAGAGATTGAAAGCGGTGTTGCATCCCATAACCAAATAACGACAAAATTATAAACGGTAGATTTTGCAAATTTCTCGACACCAACTTCGGTTGAAAAATAATAACATGGAATTATACTGTTTTTATTGGAATAAGTGAATAATGCGTGATTAAAAAGTAAAAAAAAATTTAAGTTTATGTGTAAAATTATTTAGTGGAAGAATGTGTGATTAAAAATAAATTTGAAAGAAATAAATTTTTTTTTTAAATGGTTAAAACAAGAACTTCGCTTGCTTCTTTTTAAAATTAGAGACCAACTTGTAATAGGAAGGATTGATTTTCAAAGTATTGAAGCTTAGCTTATGTTAAACATCAAATGATGACACACTACAATAGATGTTGGGAGGTAATGATTGGTTACAAAATTGATTATAACATTTATTGCAGTCCGTCACGTCATCTGATGCTTAATATAAGCTAAACAATAATAATTAGAAAATCAATTCCATAATTAGGAATAATTTAATGACCATTAGTGCTTCTTATGCTAGGTGCTAATAACGTGTCATATTAATTCATTGGTCGATAATACATTTAATTTAAATATTAAGATTCACAAAATTTTTATCCATCAATAAATTAATATGATACGTTACCGACCTCGACAAAATTTATGATGATCTATATCTACAAAACTCTCACTCTAGACACGAGCTCGAGACTTCCTTTTCGTTTAGTAGTTGTGCCGGTTCATATTGTTATCTCAACCCTCAAGTCGGAACGTTAATTCTTTTAAAATCATGCAACTTTTTTTTTGGGTACAGATGATCGTCAACTTTAATATACAATAAAATTTTAATTATTATTATTTAATTAAATGTTATAGTTGGATTAAGTTATAAATTTTGTGGGGCTAATGAGGAGTTAGGAGTTGAGACAGTCCATCAACCCCTATCATCGCGTTTGGAACAAACAAATGCAAGCAGTTATGTAATTTTCTCATCATTAAAATATTAAAATCTAAATATTAAAAATCGCTAAAACCGTTAAAAAATTATTAATGAAAAGTTGTAACATTGGTTCGCGTAAGGACTCTCCAAAGTTCACCCCTACCCCTTTACCCAGTGCCCACTGGCCACTCCTTGTACGAAAAACTCTGTGCCCCCAAATCTCAACTCCCCCGACACCATTTCTGTCCCACACACTCTCTCTCTCTCTTAATTCTGGCCGGGAAATTACAACTTTTTTCAGTTTTTTTTGGGGAAACTAGCAGAACTGTAATCCATTACATTTATACCAAGAAATCTCGGGAAAATGTGGAATCTTGCGCGAAGACCCATTATGGTTTCTTGAGTTACAGTGAGATTTCTTGATTTTTCTTGCAGGTTTGCCTATGGTGATGATAGAAGGGCTGCTAGGTAAGTTTATTTTGGTTTGAAAGTACAATGTGAGGTGAATTTCCATTTTTTATTCTGTATGTATGTGTATGTACTTTCTTGGTTGTGAAGATGGTGGCTGCTGTTTCTGAAAACCCCAAAATTATAGCTTCAAGAAGACCTCCATTATTGTCTTCTGAAAAAGATGATTGTAATGGGTTTTCAAACAATCCCAGGAGGCCCAAATCTAGAATTGTTTCTTCAAGATACATGTCCCCTTCAAGTTCTACTTCCACTTCGTATTCCTCTTCAGTTTCCTCATCTTCCTCTTCTTCTGGAAGGTATCCCTCTCCTTTAGTTTCAAGAAACTTAACCCCGGTGTCAAAGATTCCTTCTTTAGGCCCCAAGAGGTCTGTGTCCGCAGACCGTAGGCGGCCCGTGGCTGCCAGGCCTTTAGCACCTGATCTTGATTCCAGGCATGGGAATTTGACTGAAGTTTCTGCAGCCGCTAAGTTGCTGGTCACATCGACTCGGAGTTTATCAGTTTCCTTTCAAGGTGAAGCCTTTTCTCTACCATTTAGTAAGACTAAGGTTGCCCCTCCTTCACCTAATTTGAGTAGTGTGAGGAAGGGTACTCCAGAGAGGAGGAGAAGTGGTACTCCATTGAGAGGAAAGGGTGACAGGGGAGGAGATCAAGTAGAGAATTCTAAGAGTAAGGTTTCCCTGCCTTCATCTAATTTGATTAGTGTGAGGAATGGTACTCCGGAGAGGAGTTCTGCTACTCCATTGAGAGGAAAGGGTGAGAGGGGAGGAGATCAAGTAGCAAATTCTAAGAATGTTGATCAGCATAGGTGGCCGACGAAGAACCGGCCGGTGAATCCATTGTCAAGGAGTTTGAATTGTAGCAGTGGTGGTGTAGAGAGGAATACGCTCATTGGATCTGGGAATGTGGTTCGAGCATTGCAACAATCTATGATTGATGAGAGGAGGGCGTCACTTGATGGCAGGTTGAATCTTGATTTGGGCTATTCAGATCTTTTAAAGACATCTCAACGAGTTATAGATAGGAATTTGGCTAATAATGAGTCATCTGTACCATCTGATCTCACTGCATCCGATTCAGACAGTGTCTCTTCTGGTAGTACAACTGGAGTTCGAGAAAGTGGAGGGGGTTTCCGTGGAAAAAGTGGTCCTCGTGGAATTGTTAATTCAGCTAGGTTTTGGCAAGAAACCAATAGTCGGTTGAGGAGGTTGCAGGATCCAGGCTCTCCTTCATCAGCAAATCCCAGTTCAAAACTAATTGTGCCTCCAAAGTTGAAAAAGTATGCAAGTGATGGTCCATTGTCATCCCCTATTCGTGGAGGTATTAGACCTGCATCTCCGAGCAAGCTTATGACACCTGTGGGATCATCTCCATCCCGGGGACTTAGTCCATCTCGTGTCAGAAATACTGTTAGCACCATTACTAATAATTTCAATGAGACACCATCTGTTCTTAGTTTTTCTGTTGATGTTCGAAGAGGGAAAGTAGGCGAAAACCATATTGCTGATGCACACTTTTTGAGGCTTCTGTATAATCGGCACCTCCAGTGGCGTTTTGCCAATGCTAGGACTGAAGTGATCTTGCTGGTGCAGAGACACGGTGCAGAGGTGAGAATCTTATTTTAGAATTAAACTTCTTACTTTGAACTTCTTTAACAATAATCTGCATATGCCTTTTTAAGAATGATGATCGAAATATTTTTTTTAAGACAATTTATCTCTTGGATCACTTTACATTCATGGTGGACCAAGCGAGTTTATTTCTAACGGTTAGAAGCTCCTATCAGAATTTAAGACTCTTTCCCTATTTTGGTTCACCTACAGATAACATTTAAGATACGAATGTGACAGACGTATGACTAAACTTAGGGACAATTTGCTCCTTGCGTCAATTGTCATGTAAGCCAATGAGCTTAGTACACTTCTTCTCACAAGGATATATTCCCCTACATGTAACTGTGTTGCTTCTCTTTACACGCTCTATGTGAACAATTTGCTGAACATATTAAGGACTGAATCTTTAACGATGCATATGGTCATACCCGGACTTACTGTTTCTATTACATCATGTGATCTTTCGCAGGGCGAATTTGAAACTTTAAAGACATTTATTTTGTTGGAAATTTTTTAGGGATGATCTTAGTGTGTAATATGGTTTTCAGGAAAGTAAAGTCTTTGAGATGAAGACGTATATTGTCCATCGAAATAACACGAGTGGAGATTATAGTTGGCTACTTAGATTTCTTATCCTACGGACTTTTCCTCTAAAATTTCAGATTTTAGAATTATGCACTTGTAACAAGTGTTTATAATGATATTTCTGATTGTGATTTTAGTCATTTTCTTTACGTGGTCAAATGAGAAAGCTTGAATGCCTTGTACTCCTAACATTTTGTTGGAAAACAGGGAGTCGACTATTTCAGTGAGCGTGAAAAATATTACAGGGAAAGATGATAAAGTTCCCACTTCCCAGATATGCCAACCATTGTAGGGAAAGCTGAGATAAATTTCAATACTGAGTTGAAAAATAATTAGATCAATCCCAGATAAATTTGAAAGCAAGTACGAATGCCTGTTTTTATGAATTCTCGTGTTAGGTTACTTATCAAAAAGGAAAATGGAGAGTAGGAAATTCTAGTAGGCTAGAGGATGACGCCTTTACGTTTTGATTAGTTGAAGTACTTGAGCCCTTGACAACTGAAAGTGGGCTTAAAGCTAGAGTGGAGATAAGGTTTTTTGTCCTAGCCATCAGTTAGAGAAGAAATGTACAATATCCGTGGAAGAGAAAAAAGGTGACTTGAGGGGAGCAGTCTCAACTTTCATTGATGAAAAAATATATTTTCTCCTTTGTAACTTTGTTTTTCATCGTCCTAAGTGATAGAGATGGAGTATTGTACTGAAGAATTTGGAAGAGTTTGAGCAGGAATGCTTGAACATAATAATAGAAGAAAAAGTCCTACTAGTTTCATTAAACACGATAAGCTCTCAATAGTTTAGATGCACAGTTAATTTCATCGTAACAAATTATGAGACTTGATTGTAGCAAAAATAATGATTTTATGATAGATTAGATAGAAATTATGAATTACAATATACACCACCAAGTGGAGGTGGCTCAAACTGAGAATAAATTAAGCCGTTGTTTGGTTTAGCTAAAAATTAGATTTTTAGTAGATTTTGATAAATAATTAAAATGTGTGATTGAAAAATTGATAAAAGCTGTGAGACTCGTGAAGTGTCTGAGTGAAAATGAGTTTAAGGAGGAAAATAATTTTAGAAAATGGTTGCCAAACAGGGGCATAGTGAACATGGTATAAATTGGTTAGATAACATGATTGTAGCAGAATGAGGATGTTATAATGGCAGATGTATGGCCATATTAGAATAGGTATAATACCAAATCCCCTGGAGCACATTGTCCACCTTCACATGCTAGCACCTTTTGCTTCAATGGCATTCAAAATAAATTATTCACCCAGTGGAGGTAGCACAATCAGTTGATAATAAATTAAGGAAATATGACTAGATGGTTGAGTTTCGCTATTCATAAGTGAACTCCCGATGCTGAGAAATGATGTGAATCTGGTTGAAGAAGGTGGAGGATGGAGAGGTAGATCAAGCTTAACATGGCACAATTGGTTGAGAAAGATTTGATTTCATTGGACTTATCACCTGACGTGGTGCTAGATTGAATGACAACAAATGATTCCCAAAAGCATCCTTAAAATTTATTTTCTAGTTTCAGTTGTTTTAAATGTTATTGATTATGAAAGGAATATTTACTAGTTATATAAATTTGCCGGTGATGAAATTAGTGTAAGAAAATTGAAAAGCCAAAATCTTGATGTTGTACAAAAATGTAATTTATAGATTCAGAGTTTTAAAGCATTAAATTGCTATCAAAATGTCATAGGATCAATGCATCAGATTTACATTGATTTAGGTAGATATTAAAATACTGGAGTCAAGTAAAAAGCATATAATGTGACAATGGTCCTTACAGAAAGATTTTAGGGTTTGCGTTTGATTGAGAGCTTGAAATTTGTATGGAGAGAGAATAAATTTTAGGCAATCGAATTGCCTAAATTTTTTTTTTTTTTTTTATGAAAATTGTTAATTAAATGTGTTTCATTGATTTAATTTTCAATCTAGAAAATATTATATTTGTCCATTTTTTATTGGTGGGTATCTGAGAGAGAAAGAAAGGGTGAATTACCTGGAAATTAAAAATCACTCAGCCCTAAAGAAAATGTTTTCTTTGTTTTTTGAGGGAAATATGATCATATGAAAAATTGAAAATATTTTTCATGAAAAAATTGTTAATCAAATATGTCAGAAGTAGGAATTTGGGTGGAAAAATGACATTTTTCATGGAAAATAAAGCCAATCAAAACACACTCTTAGTGTAATTCTTTTTAATTTTTGATGTTTCCTAAACGGGAAAGAGGATGAGAGATGGAAAGGGGAAATTTAGGAAGGGAATGTGCCAAGCTGTTTGATTATTCTTTCTCATGATTTTTATGATACTAAAATTCGATATGCACTGAGAATGTTTGGGAAATCTTTCCATCTTTAAACTAATGCTACAAAGCTTTGAGCTAAAAACTACATATACAAAACATAGCCTCTGTTTGAGCCCCATTCTTTTGAAAAATACATTCTTAAATGATGTTTTGGTCTCATTTCAAACACGCATTCTTTAATAAAATAATATTATACGCAAATTCAAAATTTTTTCTTATTTTTTAACCACACATTTCCCATCAATACACTATTTAAAAATACATTCTTATGAAAAGAATGAGGCTCAAACAAGGGCATAATGAACTTTAATGTTTGAAATTTCTTACTAAATTATGCCAGTTAAAATATGAGTGATTATATTTTAAGCATATGATGGTGTGAGTGTGTGATACGAATTCTTGCAATTGGAAGATAAATTATGACTGTTGATTTAGCCTCTTGGATTTCTATTTTCATTTTCCTTTTGAGTGCTGATTTTGTGAGACAAACTTGAAATTCCTAGCTTTTCCTTTATCTTCCACATACAATGTCCATATTATTGTTGTCGATACAACTACTGAACACGTATCAGTTCTATGATCAGAAGCAAGTTATGGAGTGCACGTTGCTCAGTATGTTCAGAAGCAATTCATATCTAAATCTGGATCTCATGAACAACTTTCGAATCAAGAATATTTTATGCTTCTTCTTTTCAAGCAAGTAGCATAAATGTATGTCTAGTTCTTGGTGTCTGGGACTTCATTGAACTCTTTTAACATGTTTCATACTACATATACAAATCCTACCTGGTAGTCTACAATCTTAAGAATTTAATCTTTTTCTATACCAGAAAAATCTATGGAATGCGTGGATAACAATCTCACATCTACGCGATACTGTCACCAAAAAAAGGCACCGATTGCAGTTGCTTAGACAAAAGTTGAAGCTAGCCTCCGTTCTCAAGGGACAAGTAAGCTCTATTCTTCGCTTCTGTTTCTGATTGGGAATAAAGTTAGTTATTTTTATAACTAGAATTAGGCTATTGTTTGATAGATTTTCTAGTTTGATTAAGTTAGGGTTTATTCTCTTGGTTTCCTTCTCAAATTAGGTTTGCTTAGACTCTATGTAAAGAGTCTATTAATTGTGGTACAGACAACTTTTTGACATTGAATAAAATCTTATATTTCCTCAATCTAGTTTCTCTCTTTTCTCTCCCTCTTCTTCTCTTTCTTCTCTCTCTTCCTCTTTTTCGCGATCTTGTTCTTGTTTGTTGTGTTCGTCATCAGTTTCATATTACAGATTCCTGTCAGATCATTTGTGCAAAATGATTGTATAACTTGAAATTCCAATAACCAGGGCTTGACCTGATGGGATCTGATTGATCAAATGAGATTTAGCACTATTAATATTAAAATGAAGTTGGATTGATAAACATGAATAAGAAAATGGTACTCTTATGACTATACTGCAATAGTAGTCATAATCTCATAGACTTTTTGCCTTCAATTACTGCACAAAATTCTGAATCACATGAAGAAAATTTTTACGGTTGTCTATACTCGAACAAAACTACAAGTTGAGGTAAATTACATGATAAATATACCTCCAGATTTATATTTGGATTAAGTTTCTACATATTTTTTATTATAAATGATATAGTTTTCTTTCCTGATAAAAACTATGAAATCATGAATTCATGTTAATAGCCTCTGTTTGGCCCCCCATTTTCTAAAACTTGTTTTTCTTCAAATTCATTTTCGACCATCATTTCATGGGACCCACAACTTTTATAACTTTTCAACCACACATTTAATCAACTTTTCTTGAAATCTATTAAAAATTTGATTTTTAACTAAACCAAGCAGGGTATAGTAATGCCAATATACCTTTTATTTCTTACCTCTGCAAAAAAAAAAAAAAAAAAAAAAAAAAAGGTAAGATATGGTTCTACCTAGTAGGATCTATTTAATTGTAAAATGTTATAAGGAAAATTAACATTTTACTTGTCCTGAAAGATGCTCAAGAACTCCATCGTATGAAGATGAAACTACAAAAAAATGTGCATGTCTTTTTTCTTTTAACACACGTCATGGAACATGTAGAACGGGTAATAAAAGAACATTGCGCATGAAGCCCTTCACGTGTTCACAATATAGTCTTTCTTGTCGGATGTAAATTTTCTAGAAGTTTTTCTCTTAAATAATATAAACTATGTTTTTGCTGAAATATAATTGGGGTTGGTTTGTGAATTCACACTTCTTAATGTGATTTAATCAACTGTAAATATTTATTTTCCCTTATCTTCTTGCAGATGACGTTTTTAGAACATTGGGGTTCTCTGGGTAAAGATCACTCCATCTCTTTGCTTGGAGCTATTGAAGCTTTGAAAGCTAGCACTCTTCGCCTTCCAGTTGTTGGAGGAGCAACTGTATGGTCTCGAGATACTTATTGCTTTGTGTCTAATGTTGAAACAATTTCCTGTCGTGATTGATAAAATCAACAATCTTTTCAATTTTCCAGGCCGACATCCCGAGCTTGAAGGATGCTATTGGTTCAGCAGTTGATGTTATGCAGGATATGACATCATCAATATATTCACTTCTACCGACGGTAATCTTATGAACTCGTGTTTTACCTGAACGCTGCTTCTTGATTATGACAGTTTTTGTGAATTTAATACACTATGAAATGCAATCCAGCAAGGACTGGTTCACTGCTATGTACTTGGAAGCAAATTCAGATGGATATTGTGTTACTGGAATTTTCTTTTGTTTGTTTTCCTAGTGTAAATCAAGCAGAAAGGCAAGGTGTTAGAGTAGAAAGACTTGCACGAAAGCTTCTTCTGCTTGCATTTTTCTGCAAAATAGAAGAGGCTGTGCTTAGGATTGATCTATGATCTTGTTAAACGCTTATTAAATGATCTAGTGTTGGGACTTGGGCTTCTATACCAGAAGGTTGACCTATTAGGTGAAATAGACCAATCCTCTTTATAAACCTAAGAGCATCCTGTGTCTAATCAAGGTGGGATCTTTGTTTGTACACGCATCGTTTTGGCCCACAAATGATCATCAGGGACTCCATCGAGTGATAATCTTCTTCGTTTCATCTTATTTCAACCATGAGATCTATCATGTCCATTGCACCAGTCTTGCGTTACCATGGAGGCTTTCCCGACCTCAAGAGTTCACCTTCATGAAATCTCTTGCTATCATGATTATCTAGAGACCACATCATCGTTCGAATCTTTTTCAAATGTCTGAAAATTCATTTTGCGCATCTTCTGGGCTTGGCTTTGATACCAATTGTTGGGATTTGGGGTTTCAACGTGTTATGGGAGTAGTTCAATTCTTTTATGGACCCAAGACTGTAACCATGTCTAGCGGACTTTGGACTTTTGTTCGCATGCGTCCGACGTTTTGGATTATTTGTACTTCAAATTTCAATTAACATCGAAGTTGCACCTAAGTCGAGTTCAGTTCTATATCTGTAACGTAGCCATGGCAATGGGTCAAGCCAGCTTGTCTTGGCTCGCCCAACTCAGAGGTCGGCTCGGCTTGTTGGTCAGCAAGCTGAGTTCTGAGCGACTTGCAGCAAAAAGATAGCTTGGACTCGGCCTGTAGTAAACTGGGCCGAGCTGCCTGCAATCTTTTCCCCTTTTTTTAATAAAATTTTCAATTTTTTTAAAATAAAATAAAATGAAATTGCAGGTTTGCATGGACTGCACATGCTGCAAAAAATGCCGCCTGTGCCTTCACAGGCTGTTTGACTTCACATTGGGCTGACTCGTGGGGCAGATCCATGAGCCTGCTTTACAAGCCAGCTCGCGAGCCCTGTCGAGCTCAAGCTTGGGGTGGGCTTGGTTGCCATGGCCATCTGTAATCTAACTTAAACCTTGTCATTTTGATTCTCCATTAGCTTTTTCTGTATCCTAGAGAGTTCCAGAACAATTCTTTCAAGTGAGTCTCAGGATTAGTTGTTCATACATTGCTTAAAGTCGCTGCTTACTGTGTGTTAAGAAAAAGGAGTGTGTGTCAATCTGATCTTCAGTTGAAAGCTGTTCTATTTGCATAACTGACCCGTGGTCGAACCATATTAATCATATTTCAGGTCGAAGAAGTGAATTCTTTGTCGGCAGAACTTGCCCAAGTTACTGCAAAAGAGCGGGTTTTGCTTGAACGATGCACAGGTCTTACATCCATGTTAGCAGCCATGCAGGTAAAATTCATTTTTCCTCAACTCTCCACATAATCTTTTATTAGATCAATGATTGACTATTTTTCCTTTGGTATATAAATTTAACAGGTCAAAGACAATAGTCTGAGAACAAATATATTACAAAGTATATCCTAGTATCAACAGCCTGACCAGACCTTAACAACTGACCTGATTTGAGTTGACTTTAGATGCTAACATTATACGAAGCTTTCGACCTAGTGAAGGCTGCAACGATCGGATGATGAGTCTTGGATGATCATTTTGGCATTTTGTAACACATTGATGGCTCGGTCTTTAATCCGGATATTGAATAGTATAGGAAATGATATTTCCTTCTTGCTAATCAGCTGTATACAAGTATTTCTTTCTTTTATATACTAGCCCTTGTTTCATGGAAACGAGAAAACTGATGTATATATGTAATATTCGAAATGCACTGTTTTCTTATTTGTGTCTGCAGTTATTGAGGGCTGACCTTGTGGTATAACTATCAGTTTTATGAGTCTATCCTTTCTGTTCTTTTCCCGGGGGCTGTTTAGCCCATGCTTGTTTGCATTCTCCAAAACCATTTTTCCTCTCTAAAACTACTACATATAATAAAATATTTTGCACATAAATCTAAAAGTCATTATTTTAGAACTCATTTTCAACAAAAAATTATTTTTAATGGGCACCAAACAGGAACTTAATAAGGAATATTATCTTCATCGATTACATTTTGGGGTTTGTTTGGCATAGGTTTTGAAATGTCAAAATGAGCTTTTAGGATCCAAAATTTGCTTTGGATCTGTTTGTTTAATTTTATAAAAGTGCTTTTAATGGTTAGAATAGTTTTTAGAGGGAGTTGGTCTAATTTGGTTTCCTCTAAAAGCACTTTAGGAGTAAGAATTCTTTTTAAAAATTAATTTTTAAACAAAAATTAAGATAACTTATTTCAAAAGTTCTTCTACAGGAAGCAAAAGTAAAAGTAAAATTCATGTCAAATGAATCCTTAGTAGAGCGACCAGCTGAAACTGTTGTAAAAGAAGAAAAGAGAACATCAAGAATGGATCATGACACAAGAAAAAGTCTCATCATATGTAGCGACTCAAAGCAGTTGAATGGCATCATGGTGGATGCCCCAACTCACCCGTTTTAGAAATAAGATTAAATGAATCTATTCTTGTATGGGTCCAAAAGGGAATGCCGAAAGGCCTAAAACTACGGAAATTGTGATGCATTTTCCACCCAAACCCCACCAACCAAATAGGAATTACCAATCGCATGAAAAGATATTGCAACTTGCAAAAAATGAAAAAATAAAACATAAAAAATTGTAGGTCCCCTCATAATTGTGCATGTCCCTTTCACAGCTCAAAGAGTCAAGTTATGCATCAGTGGCATATTTCGTCAGGGAGGGTATGATTGCGTTCGAGAAGGATGAATCGCTAGTAATTATATTTTTGATTATGAATCTATGATCGTAAATGGTCGTGACTATGCTTTATCTATTGAGATGTTACATGTTGAATTATTGAGAATGGAATTGTGTCAATATTCTAAATCAATTTGATATGCCAAAATTAGTGGAAGATACTGGATATTGATCCACAAGACATGTCCAATGGGTTGCCGAAAATTTTGAAGCCATCAAAATTATGAAAGATCAACCAAGGCTCCTAGGTGAGTGGTGGTAGGTGCTTTGTTAAATGTGCGTGTCGAAAAGAATTTGAAAAAAAAAAATGAAAAAGAAAAAGAAAAGAACATGTTCAAAATTCGATACACTCAACCCCTCTTCGAATCTTCGATGGTGATTAAAGTCAATTTTTTAATATATTTTGATAAAAATCGATGAAATGTGTGATGGAAAATTTCTACCTAACAAGGGCTCAATATTTGATTAATTACGGATTGGGAGTCTCTAAAGTTTGTAGTTAATTTAGCTCTCTAACAAGTGCAAATGAAATTTCGTTTTTGCCTTCAAAAGAAATTTCAATATACTCAATATATCATAGTAATGTTCAAATCTTAAAAAATTAACACAAGTGAATTTTGAAGGGAAAAATTCTAAACAAAAAGTTTGTTGTAAATTTGTAACCTTGTAATTTCCCTCTCCCCCCACCAAAGGAAATAGAAGTAAAAGAAGAGAATGGTAAGTGGTAACTTCAAGCTATTTCTACTCAAGGATAAACAACCAACGTTTTTGACACATGCATCGAGAGTAACCATTTCTAATTTTACACGTCAATCGTATGAAGTAAACACAACGAAGAATAAAGATAATTTTTTGAACATGTCAATAAAGTCTACTTTAAAATAGCCATTCAAATGAAGAGTACAAGTACTAGTGCCCCCCAAAATATCCAAATGGCCCCAAAATAAAAATAAAAATTTGAAATTTGAAATAAGAAATAAAATAAAAATACTCACAATTAGCCTCTAATCAAACGTTAATGTAACAAAACCTAGACAAACAGTCGCAAGAGCTTTGTTTCATGTCCATCATGGTGTTGTAATTCTTGATGATACATCGAAGCACTCTCCAACGTCGTCGTTTCAGACTCATCCGATGGCGGCGATGTCAATCTCCCTTTTTCCGTCCTCCAATTAACCCTACTGCCGGCCGTCATTCTCGCCGGAAATCCAGCTTTAAGTCCAAGATCCAAATCATGTGACGTATTATGAAGGCCACCTTTTTTAAGCCTCAAGTTCAAATCTTTTGATCCATGTAGATCCTCTGGTATTTCATCAAACTCCGGTGGCTGAGCAAACCCAGAAAACTCCGGCAACGGCTTTAAAACGCCACCGCATAATACCGTCTCCACAGCCGATTTACACACGTGCCAGTTGCCTGCCCACAATAACCCCACAGCTCCATTAACTGGATTTATTGTCCTTCCACATGCCTCGAACAATAAAGATCGAAACAACGCTGCAATTCACAAAATATCTTATGAAAAACGGCTTAAGCTTAGCTTAAAGACGAGGAGATTCAACATAATATTAATAAAGCACGTCATCGCCTAATTTATGAAATTTGTACAGGTGTTGGCAGTTGATAAAAACATGAATTTGACTAGTAGGTGAAACGCCTGTCTAAGAAAACAGTTTAAGCTTTTAAATAAGATAGTTTAACACGTACTGACGTACCTGATCTTTGGGAATCGGGGACGGAAGAAAGGAAGGACATGAGGCCGGCCCGGCCGAAGAATTTGGCTACAAAAACAGTAGCATTAGCTTGAGCTTCTGCAGTTTCAATGCCTTGCAAACTTTGTCTAAGTAAGCAATTTTCATTGCAGCCTTTTCGAAGTATTCTACACCCATTGCAACTCATTTTTAAAGCTGAAATCAAACAGTAGCAATTCTTTTGATTTTCTTGAAACACAAGAAATTGTAGACTACAATGAGAGAATTTGATACAAGAGGAGGAATATATAGAGAGGGAACGGTGCATGTGATGTGGAGAAAAGTATATAATTATTATTGGGGGATTAGAGTTAATTAACTATAGTTTGCTTGTTTAAATATATTTTATATGAAAGTTAACTAGGGTTTCATCATTTCATAGTGAGTTTTGTGGAAGGTGAGTGGACGTTAAATTTGGGTGGGGTAGGTGGGGTGGGTTTCCAAAGTGTTAGGGGGAAGCAGCCGAGCAGCTCCATGTCTCCACATAAGACTTATAATCTGATAAAGTTGTACATACAAATTTTGAGAAAATTATAGGCCGAGATTCTTAATTTATTAAAATTATACAAATGGGTCTTCGTCCTTTTATTTTGGAATTTAAGTTTTCAATGTTCAATGTAAAGGTTCTTAAGTCATTAAAAAAGAGTGCAAATAAATCTCCAGTAGCTTTTGTTTTTCGTATTTCAATTTCGACTCTTTGTTTTCTTAGTAACTTCTTTTTCGAATTCAAGAATCGAAATCAATTAAATTTTAACTCGAATCAACCAATTTTGATTTCATTCAGATCCGATTAGAACTATAAAATTAATTGTTTAAAACAAAAAATATCATGCTAGGCTGTCAATTTGTGGTTTGGTACCATATTTGGATAACTTTAATTAACAATGTCAATAATGGAGATGCATAATAAAGCAAGACAGATAAATTGCCCCAAAAAGTAATAATTATGGAGGATATATAAACTACTCCCAAAATCATGATAATTTATCATTTGCCCTTTCATTTACATGTAAAGTTATTTTCATTTTGTAGGTAAGATTCCTTCTTCTTTTGGAGTTTGATGGAAGCTTATGAGTCATCTTTCACTTCATCATTTATAAAATACCTCTACTTAATTCACTTTGTTTATTTTATGTTTTTTTTGTTTTTTTTTTTGTTTTGGTGAATAGTAACACTCAATAATTGCTCTTTACTTGTAGATTCATATAAATATTGTTACATACTATGTGACTGGGAGAGTACGTAAATTACAAACATGCAAATATATGTGATACGTGTTTCAATTTATAGTCTAAGAATATCATCTGTTACAATTAACACGTCCTCTCGTATTTAATAAATATGAATATTTCTACATCTACGTAGACAGGGACTTGTGTATAAATTTGTATTTGAGACATTTTCATTATACTAATATTTTTGTTTAAAGAAATAAAAGAAAAGTGTACTTGAAGAAGAAGGAAGAGAAATTAATTCAGCACAACCTAATGTATGACTTAAGTGTGACAGTTGGAACTGTTGATGACATCTATTTTCTCTATTAATTAACAAAACCAAAAGCAATAAGATTCTCAGCCTTTTTCAGCTGTGTAAAGCCTCTGCTGTAGGATTGATTAAGAATAATTATTATAAGGTTGAATTTATTTTTATTTTTTTGGAAAAATTGCAATAGAAGTCCCAAATCTTTCAAATATTAATAGACTTTTTTCAAACATTTGCTTTGTTGTAGCCGTCATTCCTAACCTTTCAAACGTTGCAGGTGAAATCCTTTTAGACTGTTTCCATCCACAATTTCATTAGTTGACCAAAAATTTAACTTTGACCATATTTTTAATATTTTAAAAGAGGGTAAAAAAGTAATTTTTCATTTATCACATTATATAGTAATTAAATTAGAAAATGAAAATAAAAAAACACAACCCATCTTCTTACTCTCACCCCACCTGCACCCCCACCCACCATCGTCGCCGCCGAGAACTCCTCTCCTATCACACTTTCTTGTCAATATAGCGCCACCGCCGTCTTCTTCCTCTTTGGAGTACCCTTCCTCACACTGCTCAAATCCAAAATCTTTGATGCCGAGATCAAGTTTCTTGAAACTATAGGAGAAAATACCTTCTTGAAGAAGAGGAAACTGAAGAGGAATACGAAGTGGACATAGAACTTGAAGGGGACATGTATCTTGAAGAAACAATTCTAAATTTGGGCCTCCTGGGAGTGTTTGAAACCCCATTACAATCATCTTTTTCGGAAGACAATAATGGATGTCTTTTTGAAGTTATGATTTTGGGGTTTTTAGAAACAGTAGCCACCATCTTCACAACCAAGAAAGTACATACACATACATATAGAATAAAAAATGGAAATTCACCTCTCAAATTGTACTTTCAAAACAAAATAAACTTACCTAGAAGCCTTTCTATCATCACCATACGCAAACCTACAAGAAAAATCAAGAAATCCCACTATAACTCAAGAAACCATAATGGGTCTTTGCAAGATTCCACATTTTTCCAAGATTTCTTGGTATAAATGTAATGGATTACAATTCAGCTAGTTTCCTCCAAAAAAACTGAAAAAAGTTGTAATTTTCCGACGGCGATGGTGGTGTGGATTTTGGATTTGAGTTAGGGGTGAAGGTGGAGGTGGGGGCAGGGTGAGAGGAAGAACACGGGTTGTGGTTCTAATTTTTAATTTTCTAATTTAATTACTATATAATGTAATAAATGAAAAATTACTCTTTTATCCCCTTTTAAAATATTAAAAATGTGATCAAAGTTAATTTTTTTGTCAACTGACAGAATTGTGGATGGAAACCGTTCAAAAGGGCTTCACCTGCAACGTTTGGAAATGTTAGGGGTGACGACTACAACAAATCAAAGGTTTGGAAAAAATCTGCTAATATTTCAAAGATTTGGGACTTCTACTGCAATTTTCCCTTTTTTAACATGCTAATCAAACCCAAGCACATTGGATTATATAGATCTGGCATAACTTAACATGTTGTGACAAGTCTTACGTCACGTGAACTTTCTTTCAAATGGTGCAACCTTTTTTATATGTCTAAATAGTAACATATATTATTAACTACGTCATTTTCTTTTACGATAAGTTGGTTCTCTTCCTTTGAAATAAAGTGATTCAATATAGAAGTCAAAAAAATTCTTAAATTCAAGTTTGAAGTCAATGCATTCATTATGAAAATTCTTTACATTCGAAACTTAATGAAAAATAAATTTGAGCTTCATGGAGAGATGACATGGAAGAAATAAACTTATTAAGAGCTGTTTGAGAGACATTTTTCTCCAGAAATAGAAGAACTCCTACATTTGCTTGTCAAATCCAACCCACAATTGTTGACTTCATTTGTCTTGTATAGGACTTACAACGACACAATTTCTCATTCTCATTTTACCAAGAATATGGCTCAAACAGAGGCTTAATCAAACTTTGGTCATACTCATAGTTTATACCATGAATAATATCTACATAAATGTGAAAGAACAAAAAAAAAAATGACCTAAGCTGAGAGAGAGAGAGAGAGAGAGAGCGTTTACATAATTACATATGTGGCATCTCAATCCAATTCATGGTTTCTCTACCTGATATTTTGGACCACAAATCCATCAAAACTAACTTGTTTTTATATAGTTTCTAATACCCAAAATGACATTATTTTGTAAAGAATGGGATTCCAACCCACATTGGACTTTAGCTTTGATTTAGTAAATAGAATAATTTTGGGTGCTTCATATAAAATATTGTAATAGATTTTGATCTCCAGATATGTGGAAAGGACCACTCATTATTAAGTTAAGCTGTTGATTATATGCAATTCTTTGCTAAGATTTGAAGGGCTACTTTTAGCCTTGTGTTTCCATGCAACCCTTCAAAGTTGGCCTTCCATGGAATAGAGGGACAAGTACTGGTTTCCACCCTACACAGAGCCACTACAATTTTTTATTCATAAGGTAGTTCAATATTTCACAAGCTTAACATTTTATACACCAAGTTTTGATAAGTCGAAAGAAAATCGTACGAGATATACAATGCAAGACACTTTTCTTTGATGCTTTGATCCAGTGTTGCATCTTTTATGATTTCAATAAGTATGGCTCCCTTACTTCAAGATCAGAGGACTTGTTTGAACGTTAAATTTTGTGCAGTTTGCAAGTCACATTTGGAATCTAAATCGGAGAGAAATTGGAATGGACTGAGTATTAGAGATAAAGAAAGAATGGTTCATTCCTTAGCGGAAAGAAAGTAGTTAAATGAGGATCACAGGAGGTATATTGGTTGCAACTTTCTTCATATCTTCAACCAAAAAAAATAAAAAAACCAATTACAAATCATTATCAGTAAATTCATTGTCAATTAAATGTACGTATCATTGATAAACGGATCTCTCCTCATACATTATATCTATTTTTTTGTTTGGAAAGGCCTCCAAATTTCAATTGGGCCTTGCCCTAGCTGATCATACACACGTGAAACGATCTTAATTTGCAAACTAGCTCGATTCAGTTGAGGTACATCCATGATGTAGTAAAAACTTTGTTCAAGTTTAGCGATTTATACACATTGAATACAAAATTATATTTCCTTTAAAAATATAAATTTCGCCATTTACCCATGTGAATCATTAGATTGAAATTTTACCTTGTCCAAGCAGCACAATTATGCCCTTTAAAAGGTGTTCCCCCCCCCCCCACCAATTATCCTAGACGTTCAAGTGTTAATTAACCTTAAATTTTTAATAAATAACATTAATATTTCCTTGCCATACGTAAAGGTCATTGGATATGCGGAAACTTGGAGAAGTCTTTTGCCATTTTTCCTTGTGGAAGCATCATCTTCGATTTGAGTTTGTATAGAGTTAGGGTTATGATAGTCCAAGAATTACAAATCAAGAAGGGGGTGAATTGGTTTCCAAAACTTTTTTCGAAAAATTGATTCAAATTTAAGCACATTGGAAATGAAAAGATTAATCAAACAAAATGCACAAATACGAAAGCAATATGTAAAAGGGAAGAGAGAGTACAAACGATATAATTATTGAGGTTCGATCCAAAAAGATCATTTATGTCCTATGTTACCAAGCTTTCCGACACGAGCAATGCATTTTCAATATATTTTATTAACTTATAGTGCAATTCAAACATTTACAATGCTTTTGGTGACTTACAAATAAGGACCACGATTCTTATGCAATACTGAGTTTATGAGACCTCAATATGACTCACAAGTTTGATAATAAATGATT